AAATGTAAAATGTGAAGTATCAACTTTACCCTAGAAGTAAACTGGGATAAGCATAAAATGTCAACTTTACCCAAGAAGTATGCTTGGTATTAGCATGAAGTATCAACTTTACCCTAGAAGTAAGCTGGGGATTAGCATGAAGTGTCAACTTTACCCTAGAAGTAAGCTGGGATTGATGTGAAATGTCAAGTTTAAAGCTTACTCTTAGTAAAATGTAAAATATGAATTTAAAACTTTACCAGCTCATTATTGAAGAAAAAAAAATTCTACTTAAAGCTTTCGGGTTCCTTGTTTTGTTAAGTTGTTTAATGTTGTTTCTAACCTTATATCATAATGTAGTAACATACCAAAGTAATGTAGTAACAACGGTGGGGAAACCAGTAGTTTGTCAGCATTTCTGATTTCAGAAGTAATGTCGTATCCTTTAGGAATTCCTTTCAAGTAATGTTTCTTGTGCTTTGTTAAGCCTAGCCACAAGTATATCTGAAGTTTCGCCTGAATCGACCAACCGCCAGGACCGTTACCCCTCTTACCTGGCAACTATAGATGTTTTACATTATTAACCTGGTAACTGTATTAAAATTACGTCTGTAGAAAAGTTTAAACTCTCTTCGTAAAGTTACGTCTCTAGAAAAGTTTAAACAGTCTTCCTAAAGTTACGTCTGTAGAAAAGTTTAAACAGTCTTCCTAAAGTTACGTCTGTAGAAAAGTTTAAACAGTCTTCCTAAAGTTACGTCTGTAGAAAAGTTTAAACACTCTTCTTAAAATTAAGTCTGTAGAAAAGTTTAAACTTTCGTCGTAATGTTACGTCTGTAGAAATGTTTAAACTCTCTTCTTAAAGTTACGTCTGTAGAAAAGTTTAAACTCTCTTTTTAAAGTTACGTCTGTAGAAAAGTTTAAACACTCTTCCTAAAGTTACGTCTGTAGAAAAGTTTAAACTCTCTTCTTAAAGCTACGTCTGTAGAAATGTTTGAACTCTCTTCTTAAAGTTACGTCTGTAGAAAAGTTTAAACTCTCTTCTTAAAGTTACGTCTGTAGAAATGCTTAAACTCTCTTCTTAAAGTTACGTCTGTAGAATAGTTTAAAAACTCTTCTTAAAATTAAGTCTGTAGAAAAGTTTAAACTTTCGTCTTAATGTTACGTCTGTAGAAATGTTTAAACTCTCTTCTTAAAGTTACGTCTGTAGAATAGTTTAAAAACTCCTATTACATAGGTATTTTGAATATCGTTATGTACTGTACAGTTACCAGGTTAACAATGTAGAACATGATGTACTGTACAGTTACCAGGTTAATAGTGTAAAACATGATGTACTGTACAGTTACCAGGTTAACAATGTAGAACATGATGTACTGTACAGTTACCAGGTTAATAGTGTAAAACATGATGTACTGTATAGTTACCAGGTTAACAATGTAGAACATGATGTACTGTATAGTTACCAGGATAAAAATGTAAAACATGATGTACTGTAAAGTTACCAGGTTAATAATGTAAAACATGATGTACTGTACAGTTACCGGGTTAATAGTGTAAAACATGATGTACTGTTCAGTTACCAGGTTAACAATGTAGAACATGATGTACTGTATAGTTACCAGGTTAACAATGTAGAACATGATGTACTGTATAGTTACCAGGTTAATAGTGTAAAACATGATGTACTGTTCAGTTACCAGGTTAACGATGTAAAACATGATGTACTGTACAGTTACCAGGTTAACGATGTAAAACATGATGTACTCACTCCTCCTAAAGTTATGTCTGTAGACATGTTTAAACTATCTTCTTAAAATGTTCTTCACTTATCTTATTGTGTTCTTAAGGAAATGATAGGTATCCTTCACTAACTAGGGTGCAGGTTAGCACTGTTGGAAAGCTCTGGATTTCGTAGCTGGCGACCCACGTTTGAATCCGTGCGTTACCACGAAATGTTCTTCACTCGTCTTATTGGAATGAATTAAAACGTACTTCAATATTTAGAGAACAATAAGAAATAACGGTTGTGTATATATTTATGTATGTGTGAAATTATGTTAGTGTAAATATCCATCTTCAGCCTCAACATGCTCTTCCTGATGTTTTCATCTGGATGATAAGTGGAGGAAAGCGAATTGCTTACAGCAGGCTGCCAGCTAAAGACCTTCTATTTTCCATTGTAGAAGAAGAAGCAGGAAAACACTGTGGAAAAGTTCAAACTATCTTCTTAAAGGTAAACACTCTTCCTAAAGTTACCTCTGTAGAAATGTTTAAACTCTCTTCTTAAAGTTACGTCTGTGGAAAATGGTTTAAACTGAAGTTGTAAGTATTGTCCATCCTCTGTCACGTGCTATATAATACAACAAACTGAGTGAAGAAGCCTTGAGACAATACTTACAACTTTACATCCAGTGTCACGTGCTATATAATACAACAAACTGAGTGAAGAAGCCTTGAGACAATACTTACAACTTCATATCCTCTGTCACGTGCTATATAATACAACAAACTGAGTGAAGAAGCCTTGAGACAATACTTACAACTTCACATCCTCTGTCACGTGCTATATAATACAACAAACTGAGTGAAGAAGCCTTAAGACAATACTTACAACTTCACATCCTCTGTCACGTGCTATATAATACAACAAACTGAGTGAAGAAGCCTTGAGGACAATACTTACAACTTCACATCCTCTGTCACGTGCTATATAATACAACAAACTGACTGAAGAAGTCTTAAGACAATACTTACAACTTCACATCCTCTGTCACGTGCTATATAATACAACAAACTGAGTGAAGAAGCCTTGAGACAATACTTACAACTTCACATCCTCTGTCACGTGCTATATAATACAACAAACTGAGTGAAGAAGCCATAAGACAATACTTACAACTTCACATCCTCTGTCACGTGCTATATAATACAACAAACTGAGTGAAGAAGCCTTAAGACAATACTTGCATCTTCTGTC